GCTTTGAATTTGATATTAGAAATCATATAGCAAACTGGGTATATAGACGGATTTGAGAGCTGTCCCAGAACCCCCAATATGCCCTATATCCTGTAAGGTTTGCAGTAAGCCAACTAGCACTGAACCCGGCCTTTGTAGAAAGCATTCTGGTACCTATTATGTAACCCAATATTTTAATAGGCTTCGGGATAAAGCTAATAATGATGATTTAATCCGGATGAAAATCGATGAATTGCTTTTAGAGCTGTCAGCGAACAAAACTGAAGAAGCAGGAGAGCAGGGTCACGGCTTTGAAAAGCAGTTGGAGGAGCGGATCCTAGAGAGATCGCGTGAAACTTTGCTAAAATGGGAGAAAAATAATATCAAGTATACTATTGATGATTTTGGTCTATTCGACTAATCTGTTTACTGTATAAGGTGCTTCGCATAGGTACACCTTCAAAAAAATTTACACTAAACCCGGATACAAAGGAGGTGTGAGACTTATAGGTGAACATATCTTGTATACATTAATTGATATGACTTAGAGGCTGGGTGATTTTTTTTTACACCTAGCCTGAAAAAATTTTACATCTACCCTGAAAAATTTATACCTGTCCTGTTTTTTTTTATGTCAGGATCACAACCAGAAGGCGTGCAAAAGCAAGAAAACAAATTAGTAATTCTGATGAGTAAGAGGAGCTGGGAGCGCATAATCTAGGTATAAATTTTTATTATAACGAAATTATAATCAGGAAGGCGCACAAATGTAAGAAAACAAATTAGTATTTTCGATAAGTAAGAGAGGCTGGAGTATGGTATTTATTAACTATCATTCTTGAGGTTTTCAGGCGAAAATAACTTGGTCTGAACATACTATCTACTAGGTGTAAATTTTTATTATATCAGGATTATAACCAAAAAAGCGTGCAAAGGCAAGAAAGCAAATTAGTAATTTTATTAAGCTAGAAAGGTTAGAGTACAATCTAAGAATATAAAATTTAACGATATACTAGAACTATATTTTGAGGGCCCTAGAACAGTGAAATTAAAAAGTATTTATTTTAGTAGCAGGGAGGTTTCGGAATACTTATTTCGAAAACTATAATTCTTGGGGTCCAAGGTGAAAATAACTTGGTCTGCACGCCCTTTCTGCTGCTCTTTCTAGTCTTCTAATGTTACCAACATCCTTCAAATCAAATGCAAGCTCTACCACAAATCTTGTCAGAGTTATGAAGATAGTCACAAGTATAAGATGCCATTATTTACAATAAGGATGAAAAAATTTAATTAAACAAAATTATCTGCAATATAGAAAAGTAAACAGCAGATATACCTTCTTACATAATGAGTACACAAATTCAATTATCTGAAGCAAAGCCAATTTTTCAGAAAATCGAGAAGGCATTAATAAATGTAATTAAAGCAGAAATATATTATAGAAAGCCAAAGGATGACAAATTCATGCAAAACTATAAAGAGCAAGTAAAAAAATTATGCCAAGCAGAAGATCCCGATGCATATATCCTAGAAAATGCAAAAAGGTTGTTTTCAGATAAGGATAAATATCATAATATTATGGATGACTATAAATCTTGGTATGAAAAAGATTCAAAATTCTTAATACTGTAATAGATCTATATAAATTATACTATAAATTAGCTAAGGATTATTTTATTACTGATAAACATGTTGACGAAGAGACAGAAGACTTCCTATTGTCACTTTAGAAATTTAATTTGTAAGTACCTACTGGAAAGGCAATTTTGTATCATAAGGAATAATCATCAATTCTTCAGCCACAAAGGATCTTTTAGA